ATAAATAAAAAGTACTTTAATAACATTTTGAATGTAAGACACTAAAGTCTTGTGTCATGCACAATAAAGGATACCTGGGGCGGTAGGGGTTCAGGTTAGATTAGGTAAAATAAATAGTAATAATATAATAAAAATGTTTCACGATTGAGGCATGCACGCAAGCAGCTCATGGGTAACATAATTTGATAGCATAACATGAGCTGCACATTCCCCAAATGATTTACAACTTATAATGGTGTGGATAGTAGTTAGACATGGTTCAAAGGGCAATAAAATGTAATTATAAATAGATGTATAATGTTACATGTTTAAAGCTACTTAGGATAAACGAATATAGTTTCACTCTACATTTGAAGTCATTCCAGAAAGAAAAAGTGTGTAATTTGGATTTATTTAGATTATTTTGGTGGTTATGAGGTCAGTCAAATTGACCAACCTTTTAAAATATAAAGTTTTCTGAAAACAAGCATTTGAAATGTATTTAGGAGGTTTTACACATTACACAAATCAAATCTGAGATTTTTGAGATGAAGAAAAGTATTGTTAACCTTAACATGAAAATCGCTTTGTTAACCCTAACATGAAAATCGCTTTGTTAACCCTAACATGAAAATCGCTTTGCATACAGACTATTCAAAACAGATACTCAACAGTCACAGACAATTTTTTTTTTAGTTTATTTAAAATACTTCACTAAAAAATATGATTTTTTGTATGTGAAAGACTTATAATGTTTACTGAAAAACTGCCAAATTTTGTGAAGATATACTTACTATATTAAAACTTAGTAGTATCAAATCTATAAAGACTATACGAGTACAAAGTGGTCACGTGGTCTTTCAAATCAACCGAGCCCGTGTTGAGAGAGTTAAACTTCTTAAATTCAGCCCCACATTCACACTCTTTAGTTTTTGAATGAACATTGTTGACATTTTTCATGTTTTCAGTTATTGTACTATTCAAGCAATTTTGTGTAAACAAATAATTTAAAAGATTTTCTTCTCGTTTCAGAAATCAACTCATTACATATTATTTCTGGATGATCTTTTTAGGGAATTGACTGTAAATTGTAAGTTGTTTTTGTTACTTCAATACTGTTAAAATATTTTTAAATTTGTCTCTAACTAATCAAAGATGATCGTACAATGATATATATTTTAGTACATAAATATTTCTATATTCACTTGCAGTGGAAGCAGATGATGTGAAAAAATTAACTAGTACCTTGAATGCAATGGCAAATGAGAAAGTGAAAGCACAAAAGGTAAGAACTGTTCACTAGTAACCAGTGATATAATCTTGGTTGTAAAACTTAAACTTAGATGAGGTATCGTCTTTTGACATACAAGTTTCCTGCTATAGTTACGGTTAAACCTAAATGTGTCATCTTGAAATTCCTACAGTTTAAGTGTAATTCTGAAAATTGAGTGACATTTAGGGACTTTTTTAACATTCCTCTCCATTTTCAAGTCAGATCATGAAAAATGTATTTTAGAAACGTCTGTGACATATCACAAACATTTAATATCTACAAGGAGGTTATTGTTGACATGTTTGGATGTTAATTCCATTGCTCTCAAAACAGTTATATATATATATATATATATATATATATATAAACACTGTCTGTCTGTCTGTGTGAAATGCAACTTGAGTATCTGTACAAACCAATAGATGACACAACAATACATTTTCTTGGTGTTATTTTCTTTTGGGAAAAGTTTGTTTTTAATTTAAGAAATTTATAAGCATTTTTGACAAAATATTATACCTCTACGGAGTCAGACTACTACTTCGTAAATTCACTGACAAATCTCTTGTAAACGTACTTTATTCAAATATGGATTTTCTTTTGTACATTTACTAAAAGTTTGCCAAATTTTTGAAGATACACGGTAAACTCGGAATTATTGTAAACATTAATTGTCCAATATGAGGTTGGTCAGCCAATCAGGTTCATGTAGTGTTAAACGTACGAATAATTGCTGTGAAGGTTACTGAATAATTTAATGAATGACATTAAGATGATGATACAGAGTTAGTTTTACCAATTTAAAATAAATATAGCATACATTGTAAAGTGTGTGTGTTAAAATATAATTACTTCATAAATAATTCCAGTACAACAGTGACAAGAACACAAACTGCCTAGTGCCAATTTAAGTAGGTAGCGTGTAAGAAATTAATGTGATTATTTGCATCCCTTAGGTTGGAAAACATAAAAAGAAGGCGAAAAAGGCGAGTGTCAATGTGGGAAAAGGACTAGACGATCTTGGATATGCAGATTATGCTGATGAATACGAAGATTTTATATAATAATGGACAAATTGATGATCCACTAGGTTCTCTTTGAGATGCACTACTCAGCGTTGTAATATCTCCAACAACAGTGATGAATCGTTTCTTTACCTAATAAATTTATTATTAAAAAACTTTGATCATTAGAAAGTCTTTTTGTGTATGTGGTACAAGAAGCAGCTTATCATGACAGTGTATTTCAAACTTAGATACACCTGTTTTCTTAGTACATATTTTTGTAGAGAAAACAAAAAGTAAAAAAAAAAAAATCTGCCTCATTAATGTATGCACAGTTTTGTTTTGCATGAGATGGTGGTGCTACCATTTTAACTCAGCTTTGAAAAGCCTGTCATTTAACATAATGAAATGCTAGAATTCGGTGTAACTAAAGAGTGACTTGTTAAACTGGAGAGAAAAATACACACTTCATTTTCAGAGTGACAATTATTTTAAAGATAATTGTGTGACCCAGACAGTTTATTATTTTGAAATAAGTTTGAACTCATATTTATGAACAGTTTTATGCTGATGGACATGTTGACTAGAAAGTTGGCATAATGAAGGCATGTAATTCAAAACTAATAAATTCAATTCAAAATCTTGTAGTTTGTAATCACTGAAGTCATTGAAAGGCCTGTCCATTGTTGAACTTACATGTGAATAGGTAAATGAGGTGAAAAAAAAATGTTTGTAATAATTTTATGTATCTTTAACAACAAGCAGAGTTAGCTGTGTACCAACCAGGCTTAACCTGGAGGAGGGCTTCATATTTCTGTTGTAGTGCTGAGCAATTTTTAAAGTGCATATTTCAAATAACAGCTAATAGGAATTTAGTTTGTTCAGATCATGGTGGAATTCTGTGTTTCTTTGAACACCATATCAATGCAGCAATACATAAAAAAATTTAGCATATAATACACTTAAGGTTGAAAAATACATTATAATCTGACATCTGGTGACATTATTGTAAAGCTAAGTTAACGGACTTACAGTGCTAAAATCTGGGGTTTAGTTCCTCATGGTGTAAAAAAATGTGCAGATAACTTATTGCGTAGTTTTGTGCTAAAACAAACAAGCCAATCTCTCTCACTTATTTCTTATTTTCAGTGACTCCAATCCTTTTTAATGTTTATGATTACAGCTGGACGTTACCTTCGTAGTTGATGCTGATAGCACTTACCAGAAGGAGGTGGAACTTATTGTGAGCTGTAACAAGTTTAGCTACTCTTTTAATTTATTATTATATCACTAGATGCCTTCTAGTTTCATTTAAAGTAGTTGAAGTAAGTGGAAATCTTAACACACTCATAGTAAATTTAGATAGCTGCCACCCATGTATGTGATACTGACTTCCCTAAAACTTTTCTGCTCTATAATTTTGTCCAGCTCTGTTTTCAGCTAAACCACACAAAATCACAGGATCCACATAGGGGATATGCTTAGGTACTGTCATAATCACCAAACCACTCAAGAAAATCAGGAATATGGTCGACTACCTTCATGATTATGTTCACAGCTTCTGTACTTTGGGTCCAATATGTAGGTTTCTAGGTGGACAGGATGTAATTTGCTTCATTAGTTCTACAAGTTTGTTTTCTGTATTGTCTAACAAATAGGTTGTAGACATGATCTTGATGGTTATTGATGATAGGTGAGGATAATGCTCTTGAATCTGTACACATATTACTTGCGTATTTGAGAAAACATGGACCTTCTCTGGTCCTAAGGTATCTATAACATCATGTGTATTCACCACTGTGACATCCACTTCTTTAATTATATAACCTTGAAAACAAACTAGTTCAGGAATTACAAATGCCAAGTTGTCTAAAACATGTCAGTCCACCTATCAAACCCAAGTGAATCTGCTTTAATTAAATGACTTGGATTAATTTATAGATCTCATTCAAGGAGGAAGTTGAAAAATGGAATTATAAAGGAAGTACAAAAGCACGTCTTAGTGTTTGAAAAACTTTCCACCAGGATATTTCTTTAGGGAAACTAAATGATGTTTAACTTTGATACACGGGTCTTCTGATATGTCTTTTAGTTTTACTCTTTTTTTCTGGAGTGACATTGCCCCAAGGAATTTCGTTCATATTGCATCTGTTATCCAACACAAGTAGCAGTCCAAGATTCTTAAATACAAACATTTTGCTTGGGTCAATAACTTTATCAATGAATACCTTCATAAACTACACAATTTCTATATTGAAATAAATGTACACATCTTTAAAATAATTTTCAACCAATCACCTTTCTTAAAATTAGTTATAAACATTCTCTAGCTCTTTGGTGAAATATTCTTCTCTCTTTGTAACCAATTATACTTAACACTTCCCTTCCATGTGTTAGAAGATTCTATAATTTGTAAGAAAGGAGAATAAAAATCTAGAAATATCTCAAGCATGAAATTGTTAAAAATTGATACAACTCTGTAATAATCTGAGATATGCACAGAGGCCTCTGTGCTAGAGCTAATTCTAGAAATATCCAATCAAAGAACAAAGTATTAGGTCTAAATTAGAAAAAAAATAGAATAGGTTGTATTAGACTTCTTAAAAAGAGGGTTGTGAAACATTGGCCCTGGGAAGTTGTTGTGACTGACACAATTTGATGTTTGGGTACAGCAATGTCTGATGGAAAAAAAAAAGTTCAAGTATCCACAAAATGCAGGTTGAGTCCTGATTACAGCACCAACTTGTAATTTTGTAACTAGCCTGAAAATTTTAAATCACCAATACCTGCAGGTTCTAGAAATTTTAGTCAGAGTAATATGTTAAATATGGACAGCAAAAAAGAGAGAGATGTCTGTACAAATGAACCAAATATTAATCCATACATACAATGATATGTAAGTTTTTCTCATACTGACTTGTTACTGATTTCAATGGGTAACTTTTACTGGCTGAAGCAGATTCTCCTGAAACGTTCACAGAGGTCAAAAACAAGAATAATACACATCTGCACAGGTCAAGGATGGAAACAAAGATAATGAAATATACCACACTTTCAATAAAGACAACTGTGGTATCCCGAAATCATTTGATTACCTACATCCTTGTTCATTCAAAATAAACATATATATATATATAAGAACGGACACCCCAATCTCCTAAATTGTACACATTTCTGTTTCACCCCTTGTTAGACTCTACTTGCAATATATAATTTTTACCTCAACAGAAAGATTATTGCATAGGCGTCGGGTTTTCACTTTCTGAGGGGCATTCCAGTTAGACTCTGAGCATATATTAGCAGTGCTTGAAGTGTGTGTGTCTGGGTGGGGGGGACAGGATAATTTGGGAAATTTTTGAAGCTGAACACTTGTTTTTCATGTGTATTCTTTATTTATTATTATAAAAGTAACTAAAATGAAACCTGTAATAATAATTCTTCACTGGGTATACTCGTGAACAGCTCATGGGTTACATAATTCGATATGTTAGAGTGTGATACACGTTCTTCAAATGATCTACAACTTGTGTATCGGGATTATTAGTTAGACATGATTCAAAGGGCAATTAAATTAAGTGGAAAGAGAAAAATATTATTACGATTATAAAATGGAAAGTCTGATGGTTATGAACTCGGTCACACCGACCGAGTCTGTAGCAAGAAGGTTCATTTGCTCCATCCGTGTGCTACTTTGTCTCATTCCTACCTCGCTTATACATGACATTTTAAGAAAAAGAAATAGTTTCCCTCCCGATCCTTTGCAGCCATAGATATCTATTGCATCGTCTGTTGAACATTTTCCTTCTGATAAGCTTACAGTCTACTAAAACGTAACTGAAAAGAAGAGAGATGGTATTCCACATAAGCGTAAAGAACTGTATATTAGGCACTACACTTTCGAAATATATTCATATAAATACCATTTATAAAACTACAAAAAGCCACCATAATACTTAGTATGGAATTTTTTTCTTCATCATGTTTTTTTGTTGTTGTTGGGTAAATTATTTTGCATTCAAACTGGACATTAGTGTCTATATCATTTCAAATGAGATTCGGTAGAAAAACAAAATGCATGGACTGAGCGATTAAGAAAACAAGTGTTCACCAGTGTAGAATTACTGAACGAAAATATTAACATTTATTCAAAATTATAGTCATTACAAGTACATACAGTCCCCACTCATTAAATTGTGCTTATATACATTTGACATGATTTCTCATTATATAAACAGGGTGAAAACTTGTTTTTACTAAGTGTGTACGACAGGGCATAGAACAGTTCTTAGCATAGTTGGACTGTGAATACAAGAGTTCATACTTCGCATTCTGTTGCCGTAAAAGCACGTTACGCACATTGGGGTTGTATGTATGTTAACTTAAAAGAATGACAGTAAAATCCCAATATTCTGTTAGAAAAAAAAAGGCCCAAGTGTTGACAGCTGGTACTGTTCACTAGCTGCTTACTCTCTAGTTTACCAGTTAAAACCAGGGACAGGTATGCGAAAATAGCCCTTGTGGAGCTATGCGCAAAATTCCGAATAAGTAAGTTGTGTGACGGAAACGACATTTCAGATTGCAGGGGTGGGTGGTGGAACAACATTTATTGGAAGTCTAATTTGCTAGACAGTCTTTGGTTTTTTAAAAGTTAAAATGCAAAAATCAGTCTATTTAGGAGAATTTGCTCTGACTATTTCTTATGTTATTTAACAACCGTCCAAACATATCAAACTACATAATGTACATTGTGCATTTCTTTTATGTGAATGTACTTAATAACAATATCATTGTATTTTTAGCATTTATGATCTAACAAACTGTTACGTCTCCGTTTGTTAATTAACTTTCCGTAACTTCGTTCCGACGAAACTTAAGCGACACAAGTCCTTTCTTAATAAAACTGGTTTATTATTTCCGAATATAACTTTACCAATACACTCAACTTAA